GTTTATACGCCAGTTTGAAGATTTTTTTACAGGTATTAAAAACGCTTGCATAGCATGCGTAGCATGCGTACTATATTCAGTAAGCTTTCAATTAAAATCTTGGTGGGATTTTACTGTGCTAAAATACCTCGTAAAATACGTTTTGCCGGAGAGAACAAGTAGTACAATCAGTGCTGTAGAATTTAGATCCTGATTCAGTTTGTATGAAGTAATGTTCGTGGACATTTTATGTAAAAAATGGAGTTGTTTTCAGTGATGTAAGCAAAATTTGAAAGCACCAAACAAAATTCAAAACGTGCCTCTGTTTGTAGGTTTATCATGCTAGTCCATTAGGCGGCATTAGGGCGAGCAAATCTGACCATGTGCGGGATTGTCACATTTTGAAATACTATTATCGTGAGGAGGCATATAAAAACGAAGTTTAGTGTGTCTGGAAAGTGATCATTCGGAACATTTCGATAGCCCGGCGCCTGCGAGTCTTTGGGTAGGCCATCCCGCAGTACATGCATGCCCTATAGGCAAGATGTTGCCTACCTATCAGGCGCTATGAGACCCTGTATTGGCAAATGTCAGCAATTCCGTAACCACAGGTGACGGACTAGTTTTCTTGATGCTCCCACTACAATCAGGGCGATAATTAGAGTTGAAATACGAGTTATTCCTTAAGCACTAAATTATTTTGTGTTCTACTTCTCCCTTGTGTTTTTGGTTCTTAATTTTTTTGCAGACATAGTACATTGTGCTGTTCAAAAATCTTATCTTGTTTTTATCTACAAATAAAGGCAAATAACAGTAATACTCGCAGGAGCATCGTGACATGAGTCGTGATGCTAAACAACTCAAACACAACTCAACGAATTACTTTGTCAGTGCATATCAAAATCAAAATCTTTGCTTTTTTCCCGTTCTATTTACACCGTAACGCGTGCTCCGATTTGTGATAAAGGCTCGCTGGATATACATCAAAGGATGTTATTAATAGCCCCGTTTTATTTCAATTTCGTGGACAACGTGCAGTCACGAAAGAGAAAATATAGAGTAGTCGCAAACAATCCAAAATGAAATGCCCTTGGTCGAAGTATTTTTTTTTTTTTTTTTGGTGGATAGGAAGAAGAAGTTTCTCTCTCTTTCTCCCTTGCCCGCACACACAAAGTCGTGAGTCGAAACGTGCCAAATGCCCTGCTAAATAACAATACGTGTTGTAGCCCCTTAGCCTTTTGGCTCTGCGCCCTGTATTACGGCGTTGTAAATGAGATTCACGTAAGAGAGGTTAAGCCGGGGCGTGGAGCCGTGCTTGACTTGACCTTTCGAATGGCGCAACCTCCCCCCCCCTCCCCCCTCCCCATCGCTTTCTCGCTTTCTCTGATATTACCAGCTGGCACACTACACTGTTAAAAATATATTTTTAACAACCGTACCCAACTACAGCAGATACTACAGTATTTTGTCTACGGTTTGTCACAGTACGGAACCGTACGCCATATTTTGCCGCATTGGGTATGCTACAAGCAAACCGTAGCCACAAAACAACATCTTTGTTCTGTACCATACCCAGAGCGTCACTGGCCTGGCGATTGACTCGCTAGTTAGCTCTCGCTGATGATACGTCACGCCAGATAAGTCAGACGCCACAGGTACCGCGGTCCAGCCGTGCAGCGCCCTGCCAGTCTCAGTCCCTAAGAATACAAATATTTTTGAACATTGAAATTGGCGGACAATTCCTGACCTAATCCTCATACAAACAAATTACAAACAGCATACCTGTAGATATACTGTAAGGGTACAGCAACATCATGACTACAGTTTTGAAACGGTGCTCGACGTGTGCCTGCAGGAGTGGCGTATCTGTGAAGAGGCGCGCAACACTGGCGGATCTGCGCCGGCCCGGCCAACACTGGCGGATCTGGGAAGGGACGGTCATCACAGGCGTATCTGCGTTCGGCTGATCTGCTCAGTCAACTTCGGAGGCCTATTGCTCCTCGTAGGCATGTCGTACAGTATTGACTGATGTCTCATTGCAATGTTTGTATCCTCGTGATTGCGTTTTGATATCACTCAATACTATACGACATACCTACGATGAGCAATAGGCCTCCAAAGTTGGCTGTGCAGATCAGCCGAACGCAGATACGCCTGTGATGACTGTCCCTTCCCAGATCCGCCAGTGTTGGCCGGGCCGGCGCAGATCCGCCAGTGATGCGCGCCTCTTCACAGATACGCCACTTCTGCAGGCACACGTCGTGCTGCTGTCCCTATTCTGTATGTTTTACGGTTTTGGCACGGTGCATCCTGTACCTCTTCTGTAGGAGGTACGGTTTGACCACAGACATGTTAAGCAAGTGTATGACAAATAGTTTCCTGTACCTATTACTGTGGTTTTTTGTAACAGTGTACTATCAATGCAACGTAAAGGGCAATCACAGCAAGCAAGGGAAAATGAAGGAAATACGTGCCCATGCACAGGATGGCCGCGGCCGCATCACTACAGCAGGATCAGGTGGCAGTGATGCTAGGTATCAGGTCCCGATCTGGTCCGGTCAGGCCGTCCCGCCCTTCTGTGCAGCGGCAGCACAATCTCAGCCGCCAGCTGTTGCTCGGCCGAATAACGCACTTACGCCCTTAGGATGCTCGCCGAAAGTCGTGCCGTTAAAGGGGGGAGGGGGGGGGTGAGACAGAGAAACAGGCGAAAGGGCTGGTTTTGGGGGGGGGGGGGGAGCGATACGGAATTATGAATTATTCGCACTCCTTTTATTTTCGTTTCCCCCGGTTTCCCCCTTCTCTCGTCTCTCATCAAGAGGGATGGAAACAAGACTCCCAGCGGCAGTCTGCCGCGCCGCCCCCACGAGAGCCCGCCGCTCCGCCGCGAGGAACTTCCAAAGTGATAAATTTGTACTTGTAAAAGGCGGCGGTGGCCGGGCGATGGCAGATGTTGCGTTTTAATTTAATGCGCGCCGCGTGACGGCGGGGCGTGTTTTGGGCCGCTCATTACTCCGTTTAATCAAGTCATCCATCACGTTGTCGGACCGACGCGCCGCGCGTTTGTTTTTGCTCAGATTGGGGAGGGGGAGGTGATGAGAGGGAGGGAGATGCTTGCAGAAGCGACACCACAGCTGCAGCATTGGCTGACGGTGGAGAAAAACCACCGCGCAGAGGTCCCTAGGTCCCTGGCCTTTGCGTGTCTTGCAGCTCGCCCAGCCTACAGTCAACAGCCCCCTCGCCCCGATCCTCCTCCGACTTTTCGTGTGGACCGACAGCCAACTCGTCACTGCTTGGGGGGCTGCTGCTGCTGCCCTGCGAAAATGAAGTGGCCGAAAGTGTCGGGCCGACAACTCCGAGCCCCGGGCTTGGCGGCGGCAGGCGCGCGCGAATCACGATAGGACAAAGTTTCGGACGCCTGTTTAAGTTTCTCCGCAGGTGTCGCCCGGCGTGTCACTGAGTGGCTGAGCAAAGCGGCCCGGGCCGGACCGGACCAAGAAGTGGCCGTTTAGCCGGATCGAGACGCGAGTGGCGAAACGGGCCAGAGAGAGAGAGAGAGAGAGAGAGAGAGAGAGAGAGAGAGGGAGGGAAACAGAGCGAGAGGAGCAAGGGACGGAGAGATAATTGAGAGCGTGCTTCGCATCGTGTCCCGAAGAAAGTCAGGGGCGACCAGAACGAGATCGTCGAGGATGCCAGTGTCCCTCCCCAGCCACCCTGCTGGCCCACTGCTCCCCCCCCCCCCCCTTTTCTCTTCTCCCCTTGCCTGTTCGTCCCATTCCCGGCGTGTTCTCTTCTCTCGTTTTCTTCACCACCTGTTTCTCTGCCCCGTCCACCAGCGCAAATGCGCGGGAAATTTCATTACTTCGATCGTGCTCAATGTGTGTGTGTGTGTGTGTGTGAAAAAGTGCGCACACGTGTGTACGTGTGTGTGAGTGTGTGGGTGTGTGTAGCAGAGAACAGGCAACGACTCTTTTATCACTTGCTCATTTACATGTACTGAACGAACGAGATACTCTTAAAACAAGAAAAAATGTTGCATTTGCTTTACTGACCACAAAGTTTTACCTTTTGGGATGGGGGGGGGGGAGAATTTGATGTTCAAGTACGTAGTTCTTTCCTTTTTTAACTTTCGAAGGTTAATACGTGTCATAGTAACAATACAAGGAATTATATTTAAAAATACACGCAATTGT